AGATGTAAATTTACTTTTACATCTAACAAGGATAACATAAAGTGGAGGGCCCAAAATTGGAATATGCTATTTGAAAGTTTTTTCAAAAAGCTGTATCACAGCCATTGTGATAGTTGGTAGCTGAAACTGTCCTTCATTTCTGTCATTTTTATGTCGTAAGTCTTCCCATCCATTTTCATTTAGCGCAGTACTGGGGCTTTGTTGGTGGCAGATAGAATTCCAGCAAATCGGTCTTTGGTGTTAAGAATAGAGTGCGAGTGCATTTATGCTGTAACAGAATAATAATGTTTTCCTGAGAGAAATTGCAAGGGCTTGTTGAGACTTTCCTTAACACATTTCTGTCAGAAGATATGGAAAGACATTGTGTTTGTGCTTTAATATGCTAAATAAGAGGTATTTTAGACTTAAGAATGTTATGTTTCACTTGATTAGCCTAATAGTTGCAACCTACAGTTATATGGTGCATTAGCTTTCAGTGCTGCATAATAGGACTGGCAGCATGGTGTCCCAAAAACTGTAATTGTGTGGGCTGCTGAATAGTCACAGAGAAAGCTGCACAAAAATTCTATTCTAGACAGAATTTTTTCATTTTGAAATGAATTTCACAACAAATTCACAGTTGGATGCCACTGCTTGTATTTCCAGTGAATCATACTCCAAAAAAGTAATGCTTTGGTTCAACAAAGCTTGCCACAAACAGTGCAGTGATATAAATCAGAAATTGGATATTTTTTAATTGTAGTTTTTCAAAATACAGTACATCTCTTAACTATGCCTGCAGGTCTTGACATTCAGATATGTTTGGCTTTGTCTCCACATGCCAAAATGAAAATTCTTTACAAATAAGACAAAAAGAAGGGCTGGGGGAAAATACCTATTGTACTTATGCTCGGTTCATGATAGGAGACTAACTCCCTAGTAGCAATGGTTGTCAGAACACCACACAGCATAATCCAAACAAACCTGTTTCCGGGTTACCTTTTATTCCAGCCTAAGTTTACTGGTGGTCAGTTCATTTACACCTCTCTTTCGTTCTCGTGTCAGTATTGTTCTTCAGTGTAGGTAGTTCTCCCTTCTCTCCCTGTCTGGTTCCACTTGCAGTTTTGAAGTGCAGTTGCATCTCCTTTCCATCTTTGGTTTGTTTAGCTTAACAAGCAAGATCTTTTACGCTATTAGATGCTGCAGTTAAGGCAACTACAGTTTCATATGCACAGACCATCTCTGAACTGGATAGCTTTGCACAGTTTGTGCTGAATTGTCAGCTCTTAAATTGCAAAACCTGTCTTAAGAAACTGAGGGAATAACTTCAGCCTCTGCTGAGCCTCCTGATCTTACAGTCATAGCTACGGAAGGTCAGGGGCACCTAATTAGTGCTACTGGGATTGCAAAAAATAATCTCCTTTAAGATCTCAGTTCACCCATTTGTCCTTGTATGTGGTACAAGGATGCAAGATAAAATATGTCTGCTTATACTTTTAATTGAGGTTTAAGTTAACAATCTTATTGTATAGCAGGGATGCGTTAGCAAAATGCCACACAAAGCTACTGTCACTTCATTTTTACCATATGTTCCATCTTAATTCAATTTAATAATTTCATTCTTAGTTCTTCAGTTAGAAGACATAAACTATCATTTTATATCCTAGCTGTGCACACCAGATAGTGGTATTTAACACCTGGTGCTGATGTTGCTGACATTAGTATTTCATGCTTGTAGAAATTAACAGTAATAGTTACAGTAACTTGGTGAATGACTCTTTAAGAAATAGGTTATGGAAGGTTTCCACAGACATAATTGATAGGCACCTGTTGCTAGCATAGCCAAAAGTTGTTTAATTTGAGTGCAGAATTAGCAGCTCCTATTCTGAGCCAAGTTGCATGAATGCATGAGAAGAGGCATGCTTAGGTAGGTAATAAGATGAAACACCTAAGCTTAGGCTCTTAGGTGGAAAACAAGGATTAGTCCTTGGAACCGCAAACACTTTTACACAACCCGTGAGCTTCAGTCTTTATGAATTCCATCTTTTCACTTGTCTCCTTATTAATGCTTCATTCCAGCTCAGCCTGCTGGCCTCCTCTCTGCAGCACACGCACAACTGCCCTCTCTCCACCTTCATTACAGCTCCCCAGCTGTACCAGGGTTTTAGTGAGATGATTCATTGAAGAACAATCAGTTGGGGCAAAGAAATGCTGCTTAGTTAATGAGTGAAAATTCGACTGATTAATAAACATGTTCTGGCAGTGCTCAAGTATCCATAGATAAGGGAGACCATCAAAGTCTTAATCTTGTGTGGCATTTGTGCAAAAGTAAAAACACAGTTTCCACATGAAAGATCCTACTGTCACAAGATGAGGCTGGTAGGTGCTAAAAGCTGAATACGACATAGGTTTGCAGACCAAAATCAACACTTTGCACCCTGAGATTAACTGCAGACCAGCTCCCAAATTCACCCTGTACTTCTTAATGTGATTTGCGTACCACTCTTCAGCACCTGGTCAAGTTTATTTACTTCTGAGATGTGATACAAATTTTGTTCTCTGCGATAGGAGGACTGCTAAGGATTTAAACAGGGACAGAGTGAAGCAGAAGAAGGAAAATGCTAGAAGAGGAAAAAGGAATTTTCATAGGTGTTGCATTTGCACACACACCTGTGATCTTTTGGTGTGGTTCAAGTACTTGTGTGTAGCATTATGTGTTTTGCAGGGTACAGGAGAGGAAAAAAAAGTCAATTTCATAAAATTTCTGGTATTGCTCTATTTCTCCCTCCCTCCCTTCCTTGTTGCAAAAAAAAAAAAAAATGCTAAGATAACAAGAACTTAAAAGCTTGCAGTCTGGTGTACTGTGCTGTTTGACTTGTTTTGGTTGAAATGGAAAGAGTGACTGAGATTTTTCAAGGAAGATAATAAAGAGTAAGAAGAGGCGTTAGAGATGTTTTGGAATGTGTGGGGAAAGGCTTGTATTTTTCTTTACCTCCTTCAGTTATTTGCATCTCTTCCAGGGTAAAAATAGAACATTCCTTCAATAAAAGTCTTAGTTCTTTTGTATGTTCAGAAACCAAACTGCTTTTAGTGAGAACAGTAAAATCTTCATGTTCACCGCTTCAGTATGAACTTTTAAAACGGAGGCTGTCTTGATACAGGGGCCTGGCTGCAAAAGAGATCAGCTACATCCTTGCTGCATGTTGAAACAAGAGTCACTGGTCAACATCTCTCCTTCCACTTTCCACAAAGCACTCTTCCGGTAATGCCCTTTAGGAAGCACCCTCCAGTCTAAGCTCCAGGCTGCATCACATAGCACAGTGTAGAGACAGGTGATGAAAGTGTTCAACCTCATGCAGAGAGATCCTTTTGTCCTACTCTTTTTATAAAATGTTTGTCCATAATTGCCTAAGTTAGAATATTTCTTTTTAGATCTTGAAGTGAGTTGTGGGACCAGTGATTAAAAAAAAAAAAATAAGTACAACTGAAATGGCAGTTGTGAAACACTATTCTCTCATAGAATAACTCGTTTTGATGTTCTTTGGTAGCTCCTTTTGAAGCTGTTGTTCATAACAGGATTAAGTTGCTGCATTGGTGTTATATGAGCAAAGGTGGAGCAAGTAAGATGAACTGAAGGTTCATTTTGTAATTTTTATAACAGCAGCCTTAGTCACACTGTGATCTCTGAGCTGTGTGGTCTCACCAGGTTTGTCCACAATTCCCCAAACTGGGGAGAGGCATTTTAGCAGGGCCTGTTGCGATAGGATGAAGGATAATGGTTTTGAACTAAAAGAGGGGAGATTCAGGCTGGACAAGACAAAGCAGGTTTTCTTAAATGAGGGTGATAAGACACTGGGACAGGGTGCCCAGAGAAGCAGTAGATGTGCCATCCCTGGAGACATTCAAGGCCAGGCTGGATGTAGTTCTGGGCAACCTGATCTAGCTGAAGGTGTCCCTGCTTATTGCAAGGGGATTGGACTAGGTGACCTTTCAAAGTCCCTTCCAACCCAGACTATTCTACAATTACGTAAACTGTGATCTTTTACTGATTGCGCTTCCTCCGATTCATGCTAGAGTAACTGGAATCAGAAGTTGAAGTCATGTGGATCAGTAGCGCTCTCTTGTTATGCTGTGTTGCACTTCCAACACTTATGCGTGCTCTAATGTGTTAAATGATTTCTGATTTGCCTTTGCTTACGAAGTGAAGTGCCCAGAAAATCAAATGGGGCAATTTTAGATTTTTTTGCCTGTTTTAAATCTTACACAACTGGAGTCCTGGTCTGGGAAGTTAGTCAAGAATTACAGGAGCATAGTGGATTAAGAGACAATCCTCACTAAAGCATACCCTGCTGGATGTGCTTCTGTTTAGAATTTACGTTTTAGTATAAATTGACAAGCAGTTCATATGCTTGGTAAATAAAATGCTCATTTGATTTCTCCATCCTCCCCAAGAGGAAATACCTGCAAAGGCATGACATCTTCCATAAACTGCCATGAGTAATATCTTCTGAACCACTTTCACAGAAACACGTCCTTGCTATTTCTGTCTGTTACAGTAGGTAACAGTCAGAGAAGCTGATAAAACAGTAAGATCTTCTTGAAAAATGTTGTACAAACAAAACGCCTTGCCTTTGCCTTCTGTTTCTTTAGAACTTATGGAGCTGTAATATGTGTCCTGTGCAATAGTATGTGTATTCTAGCAAGACATCCAGAATTTATTTTTAATAATTCCAGGGTTTTATGAAATTGTGAAGTTGATGAAATTAGGTTTCAAGAGAAGAATACTGAAACGGGAACCTACTGGCTTTTTTTAACCTTTTGCTGTAAGGAAATGTGCCTTTCTCCATTTGATTTGAAAAAGGAAATAGACTGGTGATGTGACTATAGAACTTTCTCTTTCTGTCTCTGATTGCAAAAATGCTAATAAAAGAATGAAAAGAAAAAGTACAGTATTGAACCATAGAATATTATGGCTTTGAGACAACAGAATGAAAGTAATTATCTTGTTTGCTTTGTTTCAGGTGTCAGAAACTACTTGAAAGAAGCGTTAGTGAATATCATTGCTGTGCATGCAGAGGTGAGAAAAACTTCACATTATTTCATGCTTACCTTTATATGTATCATTTCAAGGTACTTTGTACGGTAAATATGGCTTTCATCACCCCTGAAAATTGTACCTCTGTTTCAGTGTCTTCATTGTAGATAAAAGAGCTTTTGGGTCAAGTTTAGCCAACCAAGTATGCCACTGCTATTTTTAAGTGCAGAAGGAGATGAACAGTTCCTGTTTATCCTCATTAACACTCCATTGCACTTTTTTGTTTCCACCATCTGATGAAGAGGAAAGCTAAAGTTTAAAGCTCAGTTCTTCCCTTTTTATACAGATAATTTTATAAAGAGAAAGATATATAGATAGTAATGATGCGCACTTTCTCTGAATAACTTTACTTTCCACAACATAGGAAAGTGAGCTTGTGCTTTGCTTTGGAAGAGATGTTCAACATATGCCACTCAGAGTGAAAAGGCAGTATGTCGTTTTTGTGCGTAGAATAAAAAGTGGAAACCTATAAACCACAAAGACTTACAGTCTCTGTACAGCACAAATGCTGTTTGAAATGTTTAGGTAGGTAATGACTTACGATAGGGAGTGAATATTAAAATTAAAATATTATTATTAAAAGAATATGCTAGCAGAGCTGGAGTTACTTGGCCCTTTGTGATACTACACAGGAATTTTCTATAGTTCTTTAAATTACAGCCTCTGTGGTACATACTCCTTCCTTCAAATCATCAAGCATGTTACCAGGTTACTACTGCTCCTGGTATAAACACTGGTAGTGACAACACTCTCACCTTTCAAAATACCACAAGTATAGCTGCTCTCCTTTTTCCATCTAATTAAAATCTGATGAGATTCACTTGATGTTTTAGTTTATTTTATTCCTCCTTAAACAATAAGGATTTATATAAATTAAAATATTTTCAGAAAAATTAAATATTGTTTGCAATATTTTTTATTCAGTTTCAATATTTACTTACAGCAGTTTTCACAGAAGCACTGCTGATTTTATTGAATGTTTCCAAATGAGGGCATAAGCAACACCAAAAACATACACCAGTGTGGCATTTGTTTTTAGTGTTGGCTTTCAGTGTAGTGAAAATTAATTAAAATGAAAATGAGGGTTTTTTTCTTAAAAAATTCAAAGACATTTGTGACTTACTGAGCTGATGCTGTAAACATGCATACTTGTTAAAATACTACAGCAGAAGGGTGCACTGCCTCTCTGACTTCACTGAGACTAATGCTGATTTTGGCCCAAATAGCATTGCCTCAAGTTTCTAGATGTGAAATACTGCAAAAATATGAAAATGTGTGTCAAGATGAAGCTCCTATTTCCGCTGTTTTCTGGTGAAATTCTGTAAGCTGAGTCAGATTTAAATTTAATTAGCAAGACTGCAAGTTTCTGTAGTTTGAAACAGCAAAAATTAACCATCAGCTGAACAAAAAGCATGGACTGTAGTGGAAAAAAATTGTTTCTGTACCTTTGAATTCAAATTTAACTGAACTCAAAATAAGGGCTTCTTATTGCAAAGTTGTGATGATTCATCGTTGCTGAGAATTTTTTTTCCTGGATTCTGTATAGTCAAATTTCAAGTGTGCTCATTGTGGGCACCAGTGTTCTCTTCTCAGTAGAAGATTTTTGGGTGTGTTCCTGGTATGTTTGTGTTGAATTGCACAGCAATATTTGCTGCTGAATAAGATGACCCCTTCCAAAATTGTTTCTGGTTGGGTTTGTGATCTTTTTTTCTCACTGTGCAGCAAAGTATGTCACTTAGCTTTTGTGAGTCAAAACAGTTACAACAGGCTTTATGTTTGAATTAGTGTTGCTAGCAGCTGATAGCTCACATACCTATATATATGGTCAGTGTATTTAGGCTATAGTGCAGACCTGCCTTGTGGAATGGTCAGCTTTATGGGATCCCTGATACATAATTCTTTACTTAAATTGCTGAAACCTGTGTAGGAATCTTGGGGTTTTAAAATACCCTCCCTCCCCCCCCCCAGTTTACTTTTACACACATGCATTAATATATCTTCTGTCAATTACTGCATTTTCTTGTCACACAGGAGCTCTAAACTTCATGAAAAGCAAAGGTATTCTAGCAAAAAAAAAACATTCCACTACTTAATTTTTTAAATAATTTTAAAGCAGAAATGGGGGCTGGGGTGCGTTAGAAATTCTATGTGGTTCGTTTTCCTTCTTCTACCATTCCAGTCACATCAACTTCAGTTCCTTGTGTCATCAATCTCCCCCAGCCTTGTGCAACTTTATTGTCACCTCTAAGCCTTGAGACAAGGTTGGTCTGTCTAACCTATAATCTCACTTCCTCCTATATTCCAACCTCTCAGCCTGCATTTTCCCCAATTTTGTGTAGAAAAATCATGCCTTTTTTTTTTCTTATTCACCATAAATTTTTCGCTTCCTTAAGGCTCCCTTTAAGGAAGATCAGTGTTTTCCTGCTTTGCATCAGGCAGAGATCTAATGCTTAATTTTGTGTTGCTGTTGTGTTGCAGTTGATACTCTGAACCTCAAATGGAGGGTACAGGTATCACTTTAAAGAGGTATACAAATAAGCAGTTAAAAATATGGTCTTGATGCATGGAAAAAAACAGAGGTGTAAATTTTTTGCCAGGGAGATAATAAATGGCATCAATGGAAGAATCCATTACAGCACTGTACTCTCAAGCCCTTTCAAAGGCTTATCTCTGCCACTGAACAAAAAAACACTAGTTATTTGACAATGGTCAAATATAAAGGATTCCAGAAGAAAGAGCAAAATATGTGGGGGAAAAATGTGGCTGAGTGTCTAATTGCAGTCAGTCACACAACCCTGAATTAAAGATGCTATCTACAAAACAGCAGTCTATGTACAGCCACCCAACTACCTGCATCCACCAGACAAGAGCACATATTTTAAGGTTTAGCTGCTTTTAGACATTGAAAGAAAGTTGTCATTGTCACATAACATATAGCTATTGACAGAGGTGAATTGTCAAAGTGCAGGCAAGTATCAAAAGAAATCCTTCGTATTCCAGTTGCTTCTGAATTTTTTTTGTCCATTGATAAAAATGAAGTGGTCCTTTCAATCAAAGTTTTCAGTACTTTTTACTGAAATGTTACTGTAGAAAATATTTCTGTTAATATAGCTATTGTGCTCATGATTCTTCTTTTATAAAAATTAGGTGTTTACAATTTCCAAAGACTTAGTTCCTCGGGTAATGTCAAGGGTTGTAGAAGCAGTCTCTGAAGAACTGAGTCGACTGATGCAGTGTGTTTCATCCTTCAGCAAAAATGGAGCTTTACAGGTACCTGAATATTTTGTACTGGCAAACATCTGAATCTAGAAAATAGAATAACAGAGAGATATACAATCTCTGTATTTGTTAAATTTACTGCAGCAGTGAAAGCAAGGAGATAAAAAGGATTAGTATACAACCTATTTCAGATTTATGGATAAACATCCATTGAGATTATAATGGTTCTTGGGTTTGACTGTATTTTAGTGTTGATTTTGTGTCTGAATGCATTAAAGTTTGCCTATATTCAATGAGATAAGAAGCGTCGTAAAGGTATCTGTTTGAAATGTCATTAAATGCTGTCTTTGGCCTGTCATCAGAAAATTACTTTAGAAAAAAAACAATATTGTGGTATTTTGAGACTTTAAAATCTTGAAAATATGATGAAGTAGGATCTTGCAAGTCATAGCAAAATGGTAACTTGTGTGTTATACTATTTGTACATGAACACTTACTTGCTGCATGGGTAGAACAGATGCTCTTACATTGCATTCTTAGTTTACAGTTAGATTGGTAGCTGTAAATGCTATTGGATAAGTTTAAAAGGACTCTAAGAAAAAATCTTTTTAAAAGAAATCCCTTTGAGTTAATGAGTGCAATGGCTGTAACAGGCAAGAAGAGCAAACTCCCAATTTTCATTGTACATGACAGCATTCTTGCATTATGGTGGGAAAATAATTTCCCAGTTGCAAGCCTTATTTTCCATCTTCTGGTAGTAATTGAATTGGACAGAATTAATGTAAGATCACAGCCAAATAAGGTTGACTGTCTATTTATAAACAAATCAATGAATAGCAACAAAGCCACTCATATATGACTTCTGTTTGACTAGAGAGCCCGCTATATGAACTTGATGCCTAAACTGATCGCTGAAAGGATTTTCTCACCCTACTGTAAATTAGTCACTCATGGTCATTTTCTGTTCCTCCAAACATATAAAATCCTGACAGAAGCAGCAGTGAGAGAGTGCTCCAAGCCTGGTCAGACTGATCAAAAAAAAGCAATTCCCCAAAAGAGTGTGACTCTGTATTCCCACGACCCACAGTTTTGTAGATTTTGTCCTACCACCATGTTTATTTAGGCTGTGGTACTTGAGAAAGTGACACTTCCCCATAGTACTGCTACTTCCTAAAATGTAGGAAAGACTCCAGAATCTTATGTGTAGGACTTCAAAAAGTCCAAGGCTGTTCAGTTTGGAGCACCATACAAAAAGAGGTGAAACATCTTGTGGTGAGAAAAGCATTGCTTATAAGTATAAAATTGGTGTGTGGCTATGTTATATTTTGTGCCAGAAAGTTCTAGAACTAAAAAAGTGTAAATCTCATCTGGTTTCCTACCTAGGGGAGAGGAGAGGACCTAAAATCAAAAGCCTTTCATTAGAAGTGGAATTAGATGTCTGTGTTGCATTATAAAATGTTTTGGAAGCTTAATGTTATATTAGTTGGGTCTAGATGTTTCTGTAATAGCTAGCTGAATTATATTTTATGTATATGATGAACAAGAGCAGAATATGAACTTGGATGAAGTTCATTTTGTATTTTTAAATAAAATTTCTGAAAGTATTGATCACATGTAGAATGTTTTTATTTCGTATAAAATCTGTGATGATAGCTTTTTAAAGACTAAAGGACCATCTGTGAAACTTAATAGTTGAGTTCATTCTCCACTGTAGTTTGCCTAGGTGAAAATTAATACCTAGACACGCAGTGCAGTGTGGGACTAAAATCCTCAAGCTTGTGTGCCTACCAGGCGACAGACAAGGAACAAAGCACAGCCATTCTACTTCCTCATTTGATGAGGAAAAAAAATAAATTCAACAGGAAAACCAAGAATAAAATGTATATTGACAGATTTTTATACTTTTGGGTTTCCTTCCTCCCCAGCCAAGCTGTGCTGTGAGAAGTTAAGCTCACTGTTTCAATGTAAAAAAAAAAAAAAAAAAAAAACAACAACCAACCAACCAAAAACCACCAGGCAGAGAATTTAAGGTTGCCTCCTTCTGTCTTTTTATCCAGAACAGAAAAGATGGAACAGAACTGAAGATTTATTACTAACAGACAAACCAATGTTTACAAACTACTACATAGTGACCGTGACCGTACAAACAGTTTGACTGGAATCAGAAGTATGCAATAGTTCCCTTTAGCAGTCTGCTGATACAGCAGCATGGCAAATAAGAATACAGGAAACAAATTGTTAAAAGACAAGGCTGCTTACAACTGCAACCCTCAATAATATTTGCCTCTACAAATGATGAAGCTTTGGGAGACTGGTATTCACTTGGTGCAAGGACACTGTCTTTGTTTCAATATTTGTATTTCTCTTTAGGCAAGACTTGAAATCTGTGCTTTGAGAGATACCGTGGCCATATACCTAACGCCTGAAAGCAAGTAAGATGTGCTGTAATGTCTGCTTTTCAAAGTAATTGAATTCTTGGTAAACATGGAAAAGCTCATAATGTAAATTAAAGGTTAGGAATGTGCTTCAAATAGAATATGTAATGTACTAGGTAAATATATGAAAACCAGATTACTAGAAAGGTTTTATCAGTTGAAAGAAAATTACTTTTATATTTGTTTTTTACTTGAATTTTTAGACACAAGCTAGAGTTCGCCACTCAGGAAAGTAAAACATCTTAACGGCAGTACAGCTGCTGAGGAAAGTGATGCTAAAACAAGACAAAAGCAAATGTCGCTGGGTTTTGTCAAGTTTTTCACAGCAATCTCGTAAAGTTCACAGCAAGAAGCTGCCAGACACTGGCAGGAGAACTAGGAGAACTATGGAGAACTAGGGCAAGCATTAGCAGCAGCAGTAGTTGATGCAGTCAAGGCATGTAAAACCAGACTATGACAGCTCTCAGCAGTTTTGAGTACAGTTGATTGACTGAAATTTCTCTGTGATTATGTTGGGGATTATATGGGCAGGTTCATTAACATATTTGAATTACTTACACATCTGTTAGGATTTGCAGTAAATGTTGCTACAGATGGCAGTTTGGTCATCTTCCTAATCAACATTTTGTAGGAAATACTGCAAGGCTTGAAGGCCTAATTTGTTTTGATAGTGTTACCATTAGCATCCTGTGGTGTTACTGCATTACGTTTCAAAAGACTTGCTTCCTTATCTTAAGTGTCTGAGAGTAATGAAGACCTCTAAATGATAACTATTTGGCACTGGCTCAAATTGGACAAAATGGAAGTGGCATTGTCTCTAATTGGCATGGCATAATTCACAGTGCACCCTGGAAGCTGGAGCTTCATAGATGCCTTTCTATCCCTGGAATTGTCACTAGTAGTAGTTGTCACAGTTCACCACATTAATCTTTTGCTGACAAGATTATACCTATATGTGGAGGTCCTGTGTTGTTCCCTGCACTTCGCTTCCACCTCTGTTGCCCGGAGAGGGATGGAAACCCCATCTTTGGAGTTACTCAAAACTTGACTGGATAATGCCCCAAGAAACCTCCTTTAACCTTGAAGTTAGCCCTACTTTGTAATTCTTGAAGAATACATGATGTCAAGCACAGTTTCAAATCAGATGTTGATTTAACATTTCCTGTTGGTGTATGCTATAAATCGCATTAGGAGTGCCAAGAGACCTGCTTGAACCCATGACCACTTTATGTTCAATTTGCACATGAATGTCAGATTTCAAGTTAATATTGTGTTAATTCATTGAAATAAGAATTGATAAAATACAGCATATCTCCACAAATTTATAGAGAGAAATTGTGAATGCTGAGCCTTGTAGCAGTGCCATGTGAGTATTTTTGTTCTCCTTGCAGCTCAAGCTTTAAGCAAGCTTTGGAAGCCTTGCCTCAGCTCTCAAGTGGAACTGACAAAAAGTGAGTGTAATGTACCTTCTTGTCTTCTTTCTGGTCTCTGGAGATACTGCTTTTTAGTCTTGTATCAGAACTTTGTTATAAGAGGGTTAACATTCACTGTATTTGAACCTTCTGAATTACAGAGCAGAAGCCTGTTTGGAAAGAGTTACGAATAAGCCAAGTTCTTGTTTATCATGGCCAAATTAAATTACATGGAGGAGCCAATGGCTTTGTGGCATATCCCTTTTGCCCATCCTAGTCTTATCAGTTCAATGTAGCTTTGTATTTATTTTGTAATTGCCATCTATTTTAGCCTTCCTTGTTAATCTTAAAGTTTCTGTGAGGTCCGTTGTCTCATCTTACTGAATTTCGGAAGCAATAAAAAAATGGCCAACAAAGAAAGTCTGAGCTTTTGCCAGTTGGTATATGGGGAGCTCTCAAAACTGGTGTGTTTCATTTTAAAAACAAATAAGAAGGTTCTGTGGTTTTTTTAACATCAGGAGGAGAAGTTTTGGGTTCTTCCTTCCTCACTGTAGCAAACTTTGACAACCAAGCTGCTTTGCTGCATCCAGTTTAGTATTTGGTAGTCTGTTTTACAAGTACAGCTTAATAAAGAGTAGTATGGTAAAACTAGGATGGATTGTATTGTAATGTATATTAGTGTAGTTTTTTTGAACTTGAGATTGGTATTATGGTACTTTCAGAAACTCAACAGCATCAAATCAATTTGCACTTAACAGTCAGAATTTCTTCTGTAGACACATGAAGAGACTGTGCAGCCTGTGGTTCCAGATGTCCCCTGTCTGTTAATTTAGAACTACTCCTCACTAGCCACAGCAAGTCTCAAGATAATTTCTTGCCTTACTTGGCTCTTACACTTGTTTTAAGATAGGAATCAGTTTTGAGTAAGGAGGTTTCTTTAAGCTCAGGCTTTCCACACCACCTGCAGAGTTCTTTGCTTGTTTTTTCACTTAGTCGCAAGTATTTGCACTTTATGGGACAGATGAGAACCAAGAACTGCATCATTTTAATATCTGCCTCAGAGTTCTGAGCCCTAGACAGTCTAAAACATGTTCTGTTTCCCAGGTTGTTACACCACAATTGTCATTGTTCCAGGCAGCTCATTGTAATCTACATGTATTTGTGTAAAATAACAGATTTGTTCACTGATTTAGAGCAGTTCATTCACAGTCATTAGTATGATACTAAGTGATGAATGTGGCCATAGTCATCTTCCAGAGGACCTACTGAGGAAGCAGATACTGATTTTGTGGTTCAAGTTGTTCTTGGGTTTGTTTGGTGGGAGGGTTTTTGGTTTGTTGGGTTTTGGTTTTGGTTTGGGGGGGTGGGTGTTAACACACAGTACAATTTATTCTGTTACTGGCTGTTAACTATTCACAGCTTGCCAAAAAGTTCAGGTGATACAGGTCTGCCCTGATTAGCTTGGTTTTGAAACAGAGCAAAAGTTCAGAGAACTCGTTCTTCACTAGAATATAGGGAATATAAAACACACAGGCAAGACTGTAAAACTTCACAATGCAGCTCCACTGTTAAAATACAACACAACAGAGCCATCAACATCTTTAGTCTTACACCTGGAGTTTATGGATCTTATCCACTACACCAAGTACTTTCTTGGCAGCTATGTAGATGTAAACGATCATTGTTATGCTCCAGAAAGAAGTCATACATAGTTTGTAATCTATAAAGAGCAAAAACCCATGGTTGCCAGTGAATTAATGCTTCTCCTGGAACAGACATACTATCTCTGATCTTTCAGCCATGATACTGAAGAGAAATTTGCAAAATAAATTTGAGAACTGAAATTTGCAGTTCAGCTACAACAAAAAGCTGTAACCTTGATAAGAGGTACTTGGTTTCATGGTATATGGAATCATAGAATAGTTTGGGTTGGAAGAGACCTTCAGAGGTCATCTAGTCCAACCCCCAAGTCTGACAGTTTCTGGATTTGCCCTACAGAATTATCTTAGACACTCTCTGCCAGTCCTTTTGCCACTGTCTTTTGCAGGTATGTTTCTCTCAAGAAGACAATCTTTATCTGGAAGGAAAGCCATATAAAGGGTTATTTTATTGCCTTGATAAAATCTCTGTGACTAAGTCCCGTGTGACCACAGATCATCCTGACACACTTGGTATACTTCTAAATGTCTGTAATATTCAGAGATTTGAATAGATTCAACACTAGGCCCTTTATTTAAGCCAATGATGTACTTGAAGTCACAGACAGAATAGGCAGAATTTGGGGTAATTGTTTTCAGTATCTGCTGAAGTTGTAACTATTTTCCTTTTACAGGTTCTTAGAAGAGTTGCTAAACAAATTTAAAAGCAGCATGCACTTGCAGCTGACCTGTTTTCAAGCTTCTTCTTCAGCAATGATGAAAACATAGACAACAATGCAGGCAACTCAAAAGATGGTTGTGTTTAAATGTCACCCTTTTTTCTGTACTTCTTCAATCCCTTCGAAGACTGAAGAAAACAAAAGGAATTTCACTGGAAAAGAAATTGAAGATACAACCCTGAGTAATAGCATTGGGTATCCTCCTCAGTGAGACTTCTGGCCATGAATACCTTGATAAAGTGGTTTTCTGTCTACTGAATTTCATTCTGTGGAGGGTAATAAGCCAAGCTGTATGTTCGTGAAGAAATGTTCATTGGTGTGCTGCAATCTCAGTTTCAGTTGTTAAAAATACACTGAGACATACTTAAGTGTCACCGTAAATTTTAGTATTACTCATGTTGTTCAGTGTATCAATCTGTTACTTCCTAGATGTAGAGTGATACTGATATGACTGGAAGACTCAACCTTTATAAGCTATTGAGAAGTATGTAATAGAAATTATTACATGCAGCTGACTAGTAAGTGTTCAGATACAATATGGAGAAGGTCACTGCCTCTTTTGCATTTAAAATTATCACTTTTTTCTATTACCGTCTACAGTTTTAGTGGTCATAAGTCTGATTTCTTGGGAGGCTTTTATTTTCTTGCTTCTTTTTAAAACAAACATGTTCCTGCCTTTCCCGTTTCTCCCTTCTATTGGAATACTGATGATAACCTTCACATTTGAAATAAACTGGCAATTAATAGAAAAGCGCTCCAAGTTCGTAAGATATTAGTGGTGTTAAGGAGCAGAATAGTTTTAATAGCCTCTCACATAGTCAGAAGCAAGGAGGAGCATGATATTTCACTGGTTTTGCTGCTTCCTTTTTGTTCTTCTTGTCTTTTCTTTTTTTCTTACAGGCTTACTTCCACTGTCTTCCACTTCCCTCTTGCTAGTCCTCTTTTTACCACCAGTTATTGAATTTGTGTGGAGAAGAGCAGGGCTTCAGGAACGAACAATTTTGCTGCCATTAAAATATACTTACACAAAGATCAAGAACTGTTTTCCCAACAGGGAGGATTTGACAGTCACTTTCATTTTGGGACTTGTTATAACTTCCTGTATGTTATTATTTAGATGCAACCAATAGAAAGTGTTTTGTTGTTGGTTTTTTTTGGGGGGGTGGGGGGGAAGAGGACTGGGTTTAATTTTATAACTGAAATCATGACTTGCAAGTGAATCATGAAGTAATAACATATTCTTTCTGTATTTATAGCCATCTTGAGTGGGACTCTTCAGAAACAGTGCAGAGTTTTCAAACAATTTAACATCAGCTGTTTTCTTTTGCCAGTTTAGTTACATGCTTTAAAAATGCAACGTGTAGTTCCTGTATGATGAAGTACAGAAGAAACAGTTTGATGCCCATGTATTTACTTCTAAAAAAAATATAAATGTCAGTAGTAGTAATAGGATGTTGGGTAGAAGTTTGAAACTTCAAATATACGTCATTATTGGCTTTCAGGAAGAGCTGTTAAACACCTGGAGCAATGTTATTTTGTTAAACGTTGTCCATTCTAAGCTGGTCATAGTCTCAGTTGCTGGTATTAACTGAAATAGTCACCCAGTTAGCTCAGTCTGTAAAGGATTTCACTTCAAAATAATAAAATATTAAGAAATATTGTCACAACCCTTTCTTGAATTCCTAACTTTCCAAGAAATGTGATCTCTTTATGAATTCTACCAGTCTACATTTTCTACACTTGCCATCAAACATGTTCCTAAATATTGAAAACATATTTTATCATCTGTGCTGAATGTATTCAGACATCTGTTTATCGTAACATCAGTCACTTACTCCTCTTTTGTTGCAACAGTTACAACAGCTTGTTGCTTGTCTTTAAAACCTGAGGTCAACCTGAAGTCAGGTGTTTGTGTTTAGTTGCCTTTCTGAAGTAAGACTACAGAATGTGTCATTAACAGCAAATAAGACAATGTGTAAGGGATCAAAATATTACTTTATTTCAACCTGATATGAAATAACTGCTCACAGTCAGGTGAGAGCACTGTCTTTCAATAAATCCACTTGGTGGAATTAAGGAAGTCAGGGAACATCATGTCACAAGAGTGTGTATTGGAATCCTTTGTGTGGAAGGTGAGTTGGGACTGCTGAGACTTCATAGTTCAATGTACAGCAGACTCCAGTTCCTCTGAGAAGAAGATTACAAAAAGAAGTGGTCAGTGTGGTTTTTGAAGAAGAAGAAGAAAAAAAAAGTAAGCAAAGAAAACCTGTTCAAAGATACAACAAGGTTTAACAAATATTGTTGGAAGTGGAAAAAAATGGGGAGACCACACCAAGATACGCGATCAGTTAGGGCTTGCAGAGAAAAGAGAGGCAGCAGAGAAATCAAAGTAACAGAAGTGAAAGGCTCTGACATTTAAACCAAAGGTAAATGTTGAAAACAGCACAAGATAAAATGAATTTTGACATGAACTTTGAACCTCTAGAAACACATAAAATCAATGCAGTCTGGAAAAAAAAATTACACTGAAAAAAATAAAAACCTAGAGAGCTTTATTTTTCATTTCAGAGAAAAATTTAGGAAGTAATAAGGCTGTAAAATGTATGTTCCTTAAAGTAAGTAAAGACTTGTAGGAGAATTCAGCCGTAATATGCTGTGGTGAGTTATTAAGCCTCTGAAGATGTTGAGGCATTCTCCTGTGACTATTCAAGATAAATGTTCAAAATACAGTAATGAGTAGTTCAGGAGGTAGGCAAAGTAGTAATAAAAAGTAAATGCTGTAGCAGTGTAATGGGGAAAAATACTTAAATCCCCCAGTAAAACAATAGAAAAAAAAAAATAGGAAAAAATTCATTGCGTGTGTGTGTGTTAATGAAATAGATCAAATGATAAGTAGCATGAAACAATGAAGAAATCCTAGCCCTTCTTACCCACAAAATACTTTTTAGATTGATACTCTTTTATTTATGGAATGTGCTTATAGTACGTCGTTGTGGAAGTTAAGCACCTTCCTATAGCTTTCAAAAAGCCACTTGAAGAGTTTAAAAATATCAGAAGAACCATAGTCTTGCAAAGTCTCACGCATGTGCTGAATTTCAAGTGTATGATTAGATGTAAGACTACTTGCTCAGAAGATTTTAGAATGTTATGCGGACATGCCTGTGTGTTGATGACCAGGGAATTTGTAGTCTGTGGGCTAAACCCCTTGCGTCTTCTCCTAGTTGTATAAAAAGACACAGAACTCCAACCAGTTGAATTTCACTGTATGGCAGCAGAGAAGAAAGAAGAAATCTCTGCTGTCAGTGCTGCAGAGTTGAGCTTTCAGGCGTACTTTTGGCTGCAGCGATAACGTGTAACTGTTGGCTTGTAAAAGTATGTCCAGTCTCCCAATCTTTCCCAAAGTTATTGCAGCTCTGTTGAGGAGACAGTACTTTATGTTGAAGGTGAGACTGTTTTTGCTTTCTACCCAGGCAGCCTTTTGCCATCCAGAACTAAGGAAACATTTCTGAATTAACAGGGTGTGTCTGTGGCTGTATTAGAAAGTAGAGAGTTGCAGATAGGATAAGAGCCATAAAAATCAGCATAACACCGAGTATGGAGCTGAGAAAAAGATAAACTTAGGTATTGCCTGTTCTGATTCTGCTTTAGTTAAAAATACTCTTATATGTGTTCAGAAAAAAAAAATGATATAAAGGAAGGTGTAATGGAGATTAATATTTAAAAAAAAAAAATATTATGATTGGAGAATTTCATGGAGCTGAGCCCCCTAAATGATGTGCAGAAAGTCACTCACTTGCAAAGGTCTGACACTGGACTAAGCAAAGCCCTGGGAAATAAAATATTCACAAATTTAACTCCTTTTTAAGTTCAAATGTAGTGATAGCCATTTTTGGTTTCTATCCAACAGAAGGTAGAAGAAGATTGCAATTTCCTAGATACGCTTTTGGCCTTGTAAAGAAGGAAACATCAAGAATCTTCTGCCATGGTTACACACAGTCATCAGCGACAATGCTACACAGGGGATTTATACTTCCAAACTTGCTGCCAGAACATATTTGAGTCAACTCTAGCTTACTTCTTTGGACCTGTACTTCTAAAATAGCCTTGAAGTCCTATAGTTTTCCTGAGAATATTAATTGATACATAGTGATTGTAGAGCTTTTCTGGCGTGGAATAAACAGGAAAACTGGGAATAGCAAGGAACACAGTTTCATTAGGGAACATGATAGCCATTTCTGACTTCACCTGGTTTTAAGTTCTGTTTTTATGTAGTGCTACCATAGGTTAACGAGATTTGTGTGATTCAGCTCCCTTTCTTTTTGTACTGTTTGAGCTTCGGAGCTTGTCTTTAATGAAAATATTAAAAGAGCATGTCTAAAATGGTGTATTTATTTCAGACAAGGTGTTTATCTTGTAAGGTGCATACTTCTTTCAGTATTACTTCACAGCCCAAGGGACTTTCATTTGGAGAGTCATCAATGCACCCTTGAAGTCCTTTAATGTGTGTTGGTGATTAACTTAAATGACAGTTTGCCACATTTATCGTTGCATGGAACTTGCTGCTTTTGGAGTAGCAGCACTAGCAGATCTGCTGTGGTTTAATTTGGGCATCAGGCAAGGGAATTCAGAGGCTCCTTTAGCGCACCTGGTTTCTTCTACTCTGAACATTCAAGATGAAGTCTGCGTTCCTTTTTTCTCATGCCCTCAGTGTTTAAAGGCTTGTAATAGATTTTGTACAACTCCTCTGTAAGCAGCCCTCCTTGAAGTCAAGACCAAGTAAGGGAAATCTTCAGCCAAATTCCTTTTGAATTGGAAAATTTTAACAACTCGAGGAAAAAGGAATAAAACAATGGAAAGTGGAATCCAGCCTTATTTGTAACAGATGCTATTGACACATGCTTTGGCACCCTTTTGCCTCTCTCTTCTGAAATAGCTAGTATTAAAAGTTCATTGCCAGTCCCAGGCAAAAGCGCCTAAATAAAATGGGCTGATGGCTCAATATAGCTCATGCTAGAATATCATGCATTAAGTACAAGTTAAGGATGGAGAATTGCCTTTTCCTTCATTCTTGAAATGGGCTTGGGGGTGCAGGTAGGAGGGAGGACAACTTCTCACTTCTTTGCGTTGGTGACACCTGTGAAGTGACATTACTGCAGTTCTGTTGTGACTGCAGCTAGCCAGGAGGCTCTGCATAGACTCAAACCTGAAGCTCAGCATACCCAGCCATTTCTAGATACATGGTGATCTAGAAACAACTACTAGAGTCTTCGGTTTTGGTGGC